TATATATATATATATATATATATATATATATATATAGTTAATTTCTAATGTATATACATCAAATTTGTGAGAATATTACAAATTGATAGAAAATAGCAAATTTTTTATTTTATGCTACTCACCACGACCACCCCGTCCAGGGCTACTACCACAGCGCCGGGGAGGAGGGAAGTGAGTTTGACCGAAATCACCGCTGTCCATCTTACAGCAACAAAGAAAGTTAATTTCTAATGTATATACATCAAATTTGTGAGAATATTACAAATTGATAGAAAATAGCAAATTTTTTATTTTATGCTACTCACCACGACCACCAGACTCTTCATCAGAACTGGAGTCAATTACTCTTGGTCTGAAAAAACCGACTTGGGATCTCAAAGTTGGTGTGCCAGTAGAAGTAGAAGCAGCTGGTTCATCAGTAAATATTTTTTCGGTGTCATTTTTCAGCAAGCCACTCAAACTTTGAGAAAGTTTTTCCATAACTGGTTCTTCGGGTTCTATATTCTGTGATAATGAATCTTGGTTATTTGATGATGATGCTGCAGGTCTATTATTATTTGTTACTTCAGCGGGAGCGAAATCTCTTGATTCAAAAATATTCGAATTTAATGGATAAATGCCGGTCTTCTGAAACCCATTAATTATTGATTGCGGTTTTGCTGCCTCTTGCAAAGCCTTGCTGAACAACATCGGAATAGTGTCAGGAGTAACAACTCTACCGGGATGTAGAGACAACCAATTTTTCACTTGCTTTTCATAGTAAGCCGATATTGGTTTCATCAGACTAACATCCAAAGGCTGCAAGCGATGGGTACAGTGAGGTACCTGGCGGATTCGGGTTCACAGTAAAATGATCGTGAAACGACGATGAATGTACCGTGAATTCACAGTGTCGACAAATGATCGTCGAATGACCGTCACTTGAACAGTCAAGTCATTGAACGGCCGTCATTTGACAGCGAACGACGAGTATCATTGTGAAAGTTTTTCACTGTTACTTTATGATTTTTATTCTGTATAATTATCATACTTCACTCTTCGAAAAACCAAATTTTTACTTGACTTCTTCGATTTTTTACCTAAGTAAAAATCGTAGATCATCGATCGATCGTCTGTCATTGCACGCTAGTTTGTAAGTGAAACGACCGTGAAACGAGCGTATAATGTCGGTAAGTCAGGAATGTTTTACTAGTCAACAAAAAAAAACACGTCAAATATTTTCACCCTAATTCAAAAATTTGAATCCATTGTTAAAAATTTGAGTTTTTTTTTTTTAGAGACGAAAACTTTAATTACGAAATTACGGAACAATTGTTTGTTATCAAGAAAAATTATTCTGAGATTTTTTAACGATTAAATTTTTAGCAATTTCTTTTTCAGATCTTTTTTTATACAGTTAATAATTTCATCGCAATTTCGAAATCAAGAATTTCGTAGTCATCAAAAATTTGAATCATTTATTACGATTATTATTTTGAAGTCCTGGAAAAAATATAGCTTTATTTAAGCTATTTTTATCTGTACAATGAAAAAATGACTTGGTTTTGACAACTTATTATGTCACTGAATCGAATACCTCGTGCGTTGTCTCAGATAGCCCAACTGGTAAAGTTTGTGGCGCGCGACCATTTGAACCGGGTTCGAGTCCCGGTCTAGACTGTCCGAAGTATTTTTTTTTATTTTATTGTCCGTGACAGTAGCGTAAAATCACCGTATTTCGACAGTATATTGAGCGTACAGCATCGGTCATAACATCGTAGATTCACTTGCGTATACACCGTATATATTCAATAAATTAATAGTAGACATCGTTCACAACGGTATCCGACGCTGACTGATAGATCGCTCGGTAAGAACGAACTTTATACGGTGAAACGACCGTGAAACAACTGTCAAGCGACCGTGCTGCGACCGTGCTTTCACCGTGCTGCTGAAACCGCCAGGGGTGGTAAACAAAGAATCACTACATGATGATTACGAGCATAATCAATCAAGCATAGTCCAAATTGTTCGTATGACTTGTATGTCCATCCAAAATAAGAAGAACTGGATCATTAGCAGCTGGTTTAACGTGGTCAACGAACCACTTGAACCAATCCAGAAACAGATCGTTTTGGATCCATCCACTAGGGTGGCAAAGCCCCCAACTGCCTGGTAGAGTGTCATGAAGCAGGCTATCTTTCAAAAAAAAAAAAAAAAAAAAAAGGTTAATTTCTAATGTATATACATCAAATTTGTGAGAATATTACAAATTGATAGAAAATAGCAAATTTTTTATTTTATGCTACTCACCACGACCACCCCGTCCCCTTCCCCTTCCGTCCGTTTTCGTGGGAAAATGAACAGTGGTGGCAGAAGTTCACCTGAAGCCGAAACACAAAGCTCTACAGTGACGTTTTTTTCCCCGTTCAGCTGATGTTAAGATCCCCACTTGCTTCTTTCCTTTTTCAGCAATTACTTTTCCATGAGTTTTGGGAACGCTGCTGCAGCCGGTCTCATCAACGTTAAAAATACGTTCAGGCTTCAGGTTATACTTCTTCATGATTTGCTCCAATAACATGTAGAAATTTTTGACCACTATTTGATTGAATCCAGCTGCACGTGCTGCCGAACTGCTCTCAGGTTTTCGGAGAGATAGAGACAGATTCCGTTTTAAAAACCCTCGCAGCCAATCTTCACCAGCTATTCCATTTACAAACCGATGTTTTATCCCATTTTTTTTCTGCAAGCTGTTATCAGCTGTTATCTGGCTTATGCCAGATCTCGAGTCTCAAAACTGGAAAGTCCGAACAATCTTGCTTCACAATCTTTTAAATAGTTGACTAATTCACTCTCTTGGGCTGAACTAAAAACTGGTCTTATTTTTTTGGGCAGTCCTACAATAAAAATTTTATTTTCAATAAGTATCCGCTACAAAATTATTTTCTAAGTCCTATTAAAAAAAAAAAAAAAAAGAATTGAAAAGATGGTACTCGATGCAATTTTATGTCTGTACATCGATATAACGCAGACATGTAGTTTGCATAGAAACAATTCTTTTTAATTCCGTTTGAATTTTTTTTTATTAGGAAAATAATAACTTTTAAATAAAAATTAAGTTAACCGACATTTAAAAATTAAAAAAAATTTCTTTCATTGAAAAAATGATTACAAAAAAATAAAAAAAAAATTTCACTTGTAAAAAACTTTAAAAATTGGAAGTGCAATTTTTAAAAAATATTTTTTTGTTCTAATTTAATTATTAAAAAAAAATAAAAATTACAAACGTCGGCTAATTATAGTATCATAATTTATGATACTAAAGTTAACCGACATTTTTAATTATTTGATTTTTTTTTTTAATAATTAAATTAAAACAATAAAATATTTTTAAAAAATTTCACTTACAGTTTTTTAAGTTTTTTACAAGTGACATTTTTTAAAAATTTTTTTGTAATAATTTTTTCAATGAAAAAAAAATTCTAAAAATTTTTAAATGTCGGCTAACTTAATTTTCATTTATAATTTTTTATTATAAATACCTTTAGATGATGCAAACTCCATGTCACTGTTCAATTGGTAGCTACGAATTCGTCGTCTGAGAGTTGATCTGGGTACTCCATACACTTGTGATGCAAGCGTATAACCCATTTCACGGCTGATTACTGATTCAATAGCTTTCGCCATTGATAGTTCATCCCAAGACATATGCGCATCTTTCTTCTTATAATTACGAACCATTTTAGTGCAGTTAATTTTTCATATCAACGTCAGAAGAAAATTTGAGTTGAAATATAAATGCCGCCAATGATTACAGCTCTCAAGCATAAATCATATGGTGTACACCTCAGTAATTGTTTCTAATATTCGCAGCGCCACTCGATGTGAGCTTCAAGAACTATTGCCGTACCTACAGTCGGTATCTTTTACGTTTCAGCGGCAATTTTAAATTTAAATTTAGCAGGAGTATGATAATTTTCATGGCAATTGAATAATTATATAATTATAATTATTTTTTAGAAAAAAAAAGAGGTTAGTAGTTATTTTTCGAATGATAATGAAATCTAGAGAGTGATTAAAATAAGGAAATACTTTTATATTTTTCAAAGTATTTTTAATGGTGAAAAAAAAAAATTTTTTTTATCATTTTTTTTGGGGGGGGGGGCGTTATTCCCCAGATATTCCCCAGGGACGTAAAAAATCCCACGTGTCTAGGCCAGAAGGCTGACGCGTAAGACTCCAAAAAAAAAATATTATTATTTTTAACGAAATTATTAATTTTAGTTAATTTTAATTCATTTCAATTTGTTGGAATCAATTTTAATGAATTTTAAATGACTGGGTTATGCCCCAGAAAAAAATTTTTTTTTACCATTTTTTGGTGGGGGCCGTTATGCCCCAGAACAAAAAAAAATTTTTTTCAAGAATTTTTCCAAAATTTTGGTAAATTCGTTCATCGTAGAGCAAAGGTAAACTAATAAGATGTTAAAAAACCACAAAAAGTAATAATCGGCTTTGGGGGGTTGCTCTGCTCCACCCTCCCCTACTGAAATGCATGCCAAGATATTCGTAATATGGGGAAGTCTACGCCAAATCGACCACTTTTGACCCTGACCCCATTCGATTTGGCTGAAATTTTTTTATCTGTTTCTACTTACCCTATATGAAAAAAGGTTCTCAAAATGTTTCCAATTTGTTTATCCAACTCAAAAATAGTAATGAATTTTTCGAAAAAATTGCTTTTCTACTTTCAAAAATTAACGTATTGGGACGTTTTTTTTTTTTAATTTTTGTTATTAAATGTACTTTTCATAGGATAAAAAAATTTGGAAAACGGTTGACCCTGTAGGCCATCCCTAAACTGATAGAAGGATTTATTTATAGTTAAAAATATTTGTTAATATTTAACAAATCATTTATTAGAGATCATTTTTTAGTCCTTAACAAATATTTCTTAGTATTTAAAAAGATTTATTAATATTTCATAAATGAATATCAGATTTATTAAATACAATCATATCATTTTAAACATTAAGAAATATTTCTTTAATACTAAAAAGTGGTCTCTAATAAATGATTTGTTAACTATTAACAAATATTTTTTAATATAAATAAATCCTTCTATCATCAGTGTAGAACTTCCCGCTATCTACGAGTTCAAAACGTTCGGTATATAAATTATTTATTCCAAAGTTTTGAGCTCTTCGAGCTATATATACATATATTTATGTGAAATATATAAAACCTGTAAAAAATTCATGTGAGTACTCGTAAATAAAAGGTCTCGATGACCGTGATATCGCGAAATAAGCTTATATCTTGAAAAATATCAATAGTTGACAAGATACAATGTCATTTCTTAATTATTGACATTTTTTATGATATAAGCTCATTTCGATATTACACTCATAGCGGAGTGAAATCTATTAATAATAAAATTTAAATCCGTCTCGGAGTGAATTTTACTCCCGGAGGATGTGAATCAATTGAAAATCATTCACTCCCGTCACTCCGCATTTATTCCGAATTTTTTTACAGTGTACAAGTAGGGCAAAATCTATATACGTCGAATATGATTTTCCTTGATAAAAAAGTCTAACACGATTGCGATATACAGAATTTTAGTGACTACATAGTTGCTTCCATCATACTCACTTTTTAATATAAGATAAAATTGATATATTTATAGTACATTTCTCACTTAGGGCAGGAAAGTAAGAAATGTCGCAGATCACATGTAATTGTTGACCGAGGCGAAGCCGAGGTCGACAAACATGTGATCTGAGGTTTTCTTTTTTACTTTCTAAGGGCTAAATACTATTTTTTTGTCCGACGAAGGCGGAAAACGGCAACTTTGTTTAACGCAGTGGGACGAAAGTTGCCACTTTTCGCCCGGAGGGCAAAAAAATAGCATGTAAGGAGAAGGTATGAAACCATATTTTTGAATTTCAGACTGTCGTTCGTTTGTATCGAATTTTTTTATCTTTAAATGACCTAAGCAGTGGGTTCCTTTTCTTAGGTTGCTTAATAAACCTCAAACTACACTTCATGGATTTTCACGTCAACCACTTTCCTGAAAATCTTGAAGACTACAGCGAAGAACAAGGAAAATAATTTTATCAAGACTTAAGTGAAATGAAGGGTATAGGTATCGAGTAAATTAGAATATCAACATGATGTCAGATTTTTGCTGGATGCTAACAAGAGAACACCAGAAGAAAACAGAAAACGTAAAAGGAACCCACTGCGTAGGTCATTTGAAAATAGAAAAATTCGATACAAATGAACGACAGTCTGAAATTCGAAAATATGGTTTCGTACCTCCTCCTTACATATGCTATTGTTTAAAGGTTTTAAAATTTTGTCAATTTTTCAATTCTTAGATCATATTCCATCTATGAAAATGTACCCAAGTCATTAACAATCGTGTTCAATAGATTTTTTTCTCATATATTTATAACTGTAATTTTTCCGATTTTTTGGTTTTTTGAGATTTTTTTAATTTTAAAACGTTAAAGGGACAAGATTTCAGATTCAATTTTAGTAAAACAAAGTAGATAAAAATCATACTCAATCTGAATCCAAAAAATTTTTTTTATCTCGATAATTTCGATTTTTTATGATTTATTGCAATTTTTTTGGATTTAATGTTATTTTTTCAAATTTTGACGGCTCAACGGGCTAATTAACGTTCAGATTCAGATTCAGTGAATTGAAATACATACTAATCATACTTGATCTGGGTTCACAAAATTTTATTCATCGCTGTGACTGCAGTTTTACTCAAAATTTTGAGGTTGTACGGGTAAAACTGACTTTAGATTCGGATTCAGCGCGTCAAAATACATAAAGATAGAAAAGATAAAAAAAGACATAGAACCGGTTAAAAGTACTGACAACGTTTTTTTTTGTGTGCCGGTGTTATATACCAATAGACTTCATCAACATGCTCCGAAAAAATGAGATCTATGTAGGATGTGTAATAAAGATGGTTCTATATTAGCACTATACTTTACAGTTCTTGAAGCGTGGTTTCCGGCTACGCCTAGACTTTCCTCCCAAGTTCGACCCGCAAGGAATATTCAGTCATTCTGTTAGATTTGCTATTCTCCCTTGAGAACTCTCTCGTCCCCTTTTCTCTTTGCATCGTGTATATCGTATAGTACCAGGGCATAGTACCATCTCGTTCTCTTTTCTCCAATCGTAGCTTCAACATCAGAACCTCAAAGTTTCGAACATGTATGGAATTCACTCACATTCCATGCTCACATTCCATGCTTGTAAAGGTGGACCCTAGGATCTCCGCCGTCCATCTTACGGCATAAAATAAATATTATTATTTTTAACGAAATTATTAATTTTTAGTTAATTTTAATTCATTTCAATTTGTTGGAATCAATTTTAATGAATTTTTAATTAATTTACAAACATGTATGGAATTCACTCACATTCCATGCTCACATTCCATGCTTGTAAAGGTGGACCCTAGGATCTCCGCCGTCCATCTTACGGCATAAAATAAATATTATTATTTTTAACGAAATTATTAATTTTTAGTTAATTTTAATTCATTTCAATTTGTTGGAATCAATTTTAATGAATTTTTAATTAATTTACAAACATGTATGGAATTCACTCACATTCCATGCTCACATTCCATGCTTGTAAAGGTGGACCCTAGGATCTCCGCCGTCCATCTTACGGCATAAAATAAATATTATTATTTTTAACGAAATTATTAATTTTTAGTTAATTTTAATTCATTTCAATTTGTTGGAATCAATTTTAATGAATTTTTAATTAATTTACAAACATGTATGGAATTCACTCACATTCCATGCTCACATTCCATGCTTGTAAAGGTGGACCCTAGGATCTCCGCCGTCCATCTTACG